AGCTCGCTGACCATTCCATTATGCATCCTAGGGGGATCATAGAGGATCTGCTTGTTAGTGTAGGTGCATTCACATATCCTGTTGATTTTGTTATTCTTGATATACATGAGGATGTGGATGTGCCTTTGATTCTGGGTAGACCATTTTTTGCCACCGCCAAGGCACTTATTGATGTGCATGATGGTAAACTGATCCTGCGTGCTGGGAATGAACAGGCTACTTTTTCTGTGACTGAATTTGATCACTGTGCTATGATTGTTGTCACACCTGTGCATGCCATTTCTGATCAGGTACACGAGCCTTTCGTGTATCCTTCTGCACCTCTCATTTTGCAGGACCCTCCTATCATTCCTTCACCGCCACTCCATCCAGTCTCGCCTCCGAACAAAAAGATCAAGGAGGAGTGGCGGCCGAAGCAGCAGGTTGCTAAGCCTGCACGGAAGAAGGGTGGAGACCACTACTAGCTGGTCCCACCTCCTGCACCACGACCACCCTGGCCATCCAAGTATTCACTCGCCTGCATCTTGCCGGATGGCCAGGTCGAGCTGACCAGTGCTGGTGGTTGAACCCTTCGGGTGCATGGCCACCATCTGAAGTTATACCTCAAGAGCGACGTGGATCCGCTCTTGGAGGCACCTGTTCCTGCACCTCCCTGAGTATCCACCATGGGCGTCCAGCTAAAAGACGGTAAAGAAGCGCTTGTGGGGAGGCAACCCCACCACAGTTTTAATCTCTTTCTTTTGTTTTAATTCGGATTGTAAACCGATTTGGTTTTGGTTTGTTTTCTTTTATTTTGGTTGATGTATTATTGGGCTGACCATTGGACCTAACATGTTGTGTTTTAGCTCTTCTGTCCCCCTTTAGCTGTGCTTTGTTCCAGATTGGTCCCTCACCAGTCCGCTTCACTCGACGGGTCCGCTTCCAGTCTCATGCAGTCCGTGAACACCGGTAACATCGTTCCCCTTATCCTTCCCTCTTCTCCATTGAGGGCAATGTCGATCTTAAGTGTGGGGGGGGGGGATGTTTCTCTTTTGACTGCGTTAGATCTGTTTGTGTGCTTGGAGCCTAGTCCACTGTCCAAATCTCAAGATTTGAGGGCTCCAAGCACTGCTGTATGCTTGATGTTTGATCGTATTGGCACTGTGGATGTGATTAGTGAATTGAATGGCTTTTGACTTATTGCATGACAACCTGAGTGTGACTAAGACAGCTTATTATGATGACTGAGATGTGCAGTAGAACTGTGTAGGGGTTCAGTTTTTCAACTGTTTGTTACCAACTGTGACTTGGATTGATCACTTGCTTTTGATAGTCATTTATGCATCTAGTTCAGGGAATCAGAACGAGAGATAGAGCATATAGGTAGCCATGTGAGACTTGAGCCTGCTGATGTGCAGCATTCACGTTGTCATTAGCTAAGATGATGGAGGCATAGGATTAGCCCACGACCAAATTGACTGTCCTGGTGTGTCATACCCCCTAGTCAGCCCCTTTGAGCCGTGTGTTCTCCTTTCTTTCGGTCTGCAATGAAAAATCACCCTTTTGCATCTCTAAGAAGGTTCCACAGAGTGGTTTTTGCATGTTCTCTGCTTTTTCTGCTAACTATAATGTGAGGGTTGGAGGTAGTGCTTAAAAACTGGGCATGTGGTTGAAAAATGTGCAGAGGTGGTGGTTCTCTTAAGAAATGAAAAAAAAAAAATGAAAGCAAAAATAAAAATGAAAGCAAAAGAGAGCCACCACCAAAAATCTAAATAGTGCCCGTTCAGTAGTGTTTCTTAGCAGTCTGGCTTAGAAATACTGACATTTATGTGACCTCCTTCGCTCTTGTGCTTTGTAGAATTTGAGTAATGTCGAATAGCAGAAAGAAAGTTATTGGTTTGATTGACTGTGAGTTTGTTGGGTTTGGAAATGTGGAACCTTGTGCTATGAATACTTCCACCACCTAAAAGGCCTTTTCCCCATGTCCAAGACCCTAGCCAGTCATCTGAACCTGTGTCTAAGACCTCCGGATTAGTTAGTGGGGACACCCCATATGTGAACTCTAGCATTTAGAGGCCGCATTCATGGTGAAGAGACGCTAGGGATTGAGAGAATAAGCATGCACATTTTTCGCATCCAATTGTCCTGACCCCACTGGTCGAGAGTGAGCGATTCATTTTCTCATATTCTTTATACTCTTTATCCCGATGAGGACCTAGATTGCTAGGTCTTGATTCTGATCTCTTGAGTTTTGTGCATGAGGTGACTGTTTTGGGTAAGTGTTTGAGTCAAGTCTATGTTGGTTGATGAACAGAAGGGAGACTCCTCCTTTACTCGATTTTGCTGCACTCGAATGTCCTCTGTGGTGGTTGTCCAGGTTGCTATTGAAGTTGTTCATGTGTTAATATTTGAAAGCCAGTACGATTCGCGTGTTCTGTGCCTCTATGATTTGTCCCCAATGTTGGTATGATTGAAATATGTGAGCTTACCTTATATTTGACTTGGTTTGCTTGGGGACAAACAAACGGTTAAGTGTGGGGGAATTTGATGACTGGATATTTGCACATGTTTTCCCCTTTGTTTCTTGATCGTTTAAGCTTGCATTATCGCTTCTTTGGCCTATTTTATGCTAGGTTGTGTTCCTTTGTCACATTTCAGGTCCTAGCATGTAAATTGAAGCATAGGCACAAGTTTGAAGTCAATCGAAGATCATTCGGCAATTCGGGAGAAGAAACACGAGCATGACCTGAGGAATAATGGACTTCTACCTCATATTATGGACAAATAATCATAGAATTTTGTCATGAAAAGAAAGAGGACGAGACTACGAGCTTCTGGGATCAAACGGCGACTGATTCGGAGTCCGGACGAGGGAGAAACGAAGAATTAAACAGAGGCTGAGCAAGCCACACGGGCACGACCCACACGGCCGTGTGAACTGGCCATATGGCCGTGTGAAGGCTCGGAAAAAGCCACACGGGCACCCTGAACACTCACACGGCCGTGTGGGTCCTGGCCGCGTGGGATGGTTGAAGTCACTAATCGAAACGCCGCGTTTTGCAAAGCCACACGGGCAACTGGGTATGCCACATGGCCGTGTGGCCTGCCCGTGTGAGTCGCGATTTTCTGGTTTAAAGCCAATTTCCAGCCACATGTGAAGGGGATTCGAGTTTTAGAGAGACAGAGCGATTCCTAGAGAGAGAAAGCGACGAACAAGAGTTCCCAAGTGCCCTAGCTTGATCTTCATCACCATTGGAGCTTGGCTTGAGCTTGGAGGAGTGTCGATTGACAACCAGGAGCAGAAACGCATCCTTCACAGTATGATTTCCGCGTCTGAATCTGCTTTTGCTTCTTTCTCCATGGAGTAGTTCTCCCATTCATCTGGGTATGGGAAACCCTAGATTTGTATGTTAGGTTTGATTGTATGAACCCAAGTACAGATTTCATGAGTTGATTATATTCGATTGAGGCTTGAATGATTGAATGACTTGAATCCTGATCAAATTCCTGTTGTTTCTGCTTTAACCTAGAATGAGAATATCTGCCTAGGTTGATAGAGCACCCTTAATTGAAGGTGGTGAAATGGTGACTTTAGTCGAGGAGCCAATTCACTATTATGTACCGAATTTGCTTCGGTAGTGGAGGTTTGGTTCGTTAGAGCCTCAATATGTTTACTCCGGTGGAGGTTAGTCGCCCGCTTGAGACTCAGATTGAGAGGGTCTGGAGACCTTTAGTCGAGACTTCAGACTGTTTAAGAACCTTCCGCAGTATAACTTCCATGGAAACTGAACTTGGTAAGTTGGAATTCGGCTTAACTGCAGTCTAGGGGGAACCATATCCGGGTGACCTCTCTCGACTTGAAAACAACCGTTTAACTTGCTTTGTTTGTTTTGTTTGTTTGAACTTGCACTTAAGTTTTACTGCTAGATAATAAGAATTCACTGAGTAGTCATCACATCTAGGACCCAGGTTAACATTAAAACCCAAACCCGCTATACTACGCTTTAGGAAGTGGTTTCACTTGGCCATTTTCTAGAGTGACAGTAGGAGTGAGTCACATACCTAAGTGAGTTCCCAACTTGTAATTAGTAGAGTATTTTAGTAAATCAATCTTTAATCTAGTTTGCTAGATAATGAACTAAAGCTGAGTAATAGTAACTCTAGAGACCCGTGGATTCGATATTTATTACTTGTGCCACTATACTGGAGTCCCTTTCATTGGTTACACTTGGCCATTGTTAGGAGTTGTGTAGTAGCGTGTCAATTGGCCCACAAGTTTCATGAAGCAGGCCAAAAAACTTTGAAAGTAGACCACAATATGTTATGGATGATGGACACTCATTATCATACGTGGGAGTATAGGTACGCTAAAATCATCATGAGTATTCTTGCTATTAGTACCATAACTCAGGACCACGAATTTAAAATCATCGATCATGGGACTGTTCGCTACCCTTATATCAACATCTTTTAAGTAGAGATTTGACTCGACTACCACTACACTTAATCCCAACTATAGGCCAAGTGCAATCTATAGTGGGTGTAGGATAGGGTAAGTATTTTAATTCCTACAATCTAACACATCGTAGACTAGGGTTCATGATACAATCAAAGTCTCACAACTCCAATCAATTCGAACCAAAATAACCGAATAGGGTGGAATCGATCGGACAGTACTCACTCGTGAACAAGGGCAATCGATATATGAATCGATCGGACATATTCAACTTGGAATAAAGGGGAATCGATATGGGTAGCTCGCCACAACTAGGGAGAATACCTAGCTGATAAGAGTCGCTCTAACACTCCAGAATCCTAAACAGAGTAATTAGGGAAAAAGTCCTCAAGGTAACTTGGCAATAGAATCTGAAATTCAATAATAATCGTCTTGTCCTCCAAACCAACGAGTTCAGCCCTTTAAGTAGGATTCAAACAATCCAAATCCGAAAATAACAAGGAAAACATCAAAGTAAATCGACTTAAGCAAAAACAACCCGTTAAGCACAAACCCATTAAGCAAAACCCGTTAAGCCCGCTTATTGCATTCTGCCGTCTCTTCCAGACTTCCTTCTTCCTCCACTCGAATCATCATATAAGGCCTTACTCTAAACAGCTCCACGTCCATAGCTCCAAAATGATTCACCAAATAATTTGCGAGCTTCTCTTTCAATGTTCTTGTCTTAGCATGTGTGACTGGTGATAGCATCGTATTTGCACACGTTTTCACTCTTGTTTCCTGACCATTTTAGCTCAAATTTGTTGTTCTTTGGCCTATTTTACGCTAGGTTGTGTTGTTTTGTCGTATTTCAGGTCCTAGCAAGTAAAGAGGTGCATAGGCGCAAGTTTCGGGTCATTTGGAGGTCGGGTTGTGTTTCAAAGAGAAAATTACGGGCAGCCCTTGCACAATTACGGTCGTAATTGTTCCTGGCATGCCCATAATTTCAATGCCGAGCCTAATTCTTCAAAATTCCTGTCGCAGAGACAATTACGGGCAAGGGTCATATTGATTACGGTCGTAATTCCATAATTACTGGCGGTAATTGGGAAATTACGACCGTAAATCCTCTCTTCCGAGTCAAGTGAAACGCGCGTTTTGGGAAATTACGCGCATACCATGATTACGACTGTAATTTGCCCGTAATTCACCCAGAATCGGGTTTTTGAGGCAGATTCGAGCCAAAGGAGAGGGGGTCGACTTTTTGGAGCAAAAACATAGTTTTAGAGAGAGAAAGGGCGAAGAACAAATCCTAGGAGCTATTTGGAGTGGATTTCTCACCATTGAAGCCCAGATTGCGTCTCCAGGAGTGAAGATTGACATCCCAGAGCAGATTTTCCTCATCTTTATGAGTATGACTACACTGGTTTCTGTTTTCCTCTCTCTCTCTATGGAGTAGAACTTTCTCTCACTTGGGTATGAAGAATCCTAATTCCATGTGTTAGGAATCTTGATTGTAATTACGTTTGAATTGTGATATTGCTTGATTATAATTGATTGAAGTATTTTGAATGAGTTAATTGAAGTCTGATCACCTTTTATTGATTTCTGCTGCTACCTGAGATAGATAGAATCTGATTAGATTGTTAGAGCCTCTTCAATCAGTGGTAGTGAATCGATTATACGAGAGTTAGTCGATTCACTGCTTTGTACTAGAAACTAATTCCAGTAGTGGAGTTCTGTGTTCATTGCTTCAGCTTTCTATCCCAGTGAAGACTAGTCATCTGCCGGGTAGTTAGACTAAGAGGGCTTGGTCAGCTTAAGAGATTCCAAACTACTGTCGGATCTTCCGCAGTTTAATCAACAGTAAATCAACCTAGGGTAATTACAACTAAGACCTAACTAAGGAGCTAGGGGGACTCATTCCCGAGTGACTCTTCCTTTGCTTCAGAAAACCAACCATTTCCTGCTTTCTTACTGCTTTTAGTTAAAACCACAACCAATCGACTTAGTTGGCTAGATAATAGATACTCACGGAGTAAGCAGTAGATCTAGACCCCGGGTTGATAATTAGACTTGCCACTTTACTGCATTCCTAGACTGCGATTACACTTGGTCGCAGTTTGGTGTTGTGTCATAGCGTGTCGACTGGCCCTTGGATGCCCTCATAAGCTCATCCTTCAAAAGGATTTGCCCTCAAATACGAATTACAATCCAAGTAAGGTGCAAGATCAGCAAAATTGAACGTGGCACTTACTCCATACTCTCCTGGAAAATCGATCTTATAGGCATTGCTTCCCACCTTAGAAACCACCTGGAAAGGACCATCACAACGAGGCAGCAACTTCGATTTCCTTTGCTGTGGAAATCTCTCCTTCTTCAAGTGCACCCACACCCAATCTCCAACTTCAAAGTGCCTCGGTTTCCTGTGCTTGTTCACATTCTTCATAATTTGCTCAGTTCTCCTCTCGATGTTGAACCTAGCCTTCTCGTGGAGGCTCTTCGCTAACTTCGCCTTCTTTGCTCCATCGAGGTTGACTTGCTCTTTCAAAGATAATGGCATCAATTCCAATGGAGTGAGAGGATTGAAACCATTCATGAGCTCAAATGGAACTTTATTGTCGATTGCACCATCCTTTTATAAGCAAACTCCACGTGGGGTAGACAGTCTTCCCAAACCTTGATATTACTCCTGATCACAGCTCGAAGCATCTGGGATAGAGTTTTATTAACCAACTCTGTTTGCCCATCGGTTTGAGGATGAAAAGTAGTGGAAAACAGCAAAGTCGTTCCCAGTTTGCTCCACAACGTCTTCCAAAAGCAACTCAGAGACTTAGTATCTCGATCGGATACTACAGAACGTGGCATCCCATGCAATCGTACTATCTCCCTGAAAACAAATCAGCCACGTTAACTGCATCATCAGTATTATGACATGGGATAAAATGTGCCATCTTCGAGAATCGATTCACCACCACAAAAATCGAATCTCTTCCCTTCCTTGTCCACGGCAAACCAAGCACAAAATCCATAGAGATGTCAATCCATAGAGCATATGGAATCGGCAGTGGTGTGTACAATCCAGATGATTGCACATTCGATTTGGCTTGCTTGCACTCCACGCGTCTAGCACACAGATTCTCCACGTCTTCCTTCATGTGAGGCCATTAGAAGTGTTCTTGTAGGCAGCTCAACGTCTTGTCTACACCAAAATGCGCCATAAGAGCTCCTCCATGAGCTTCCTTCAATAACAACTCCCGAAGTGATGCACGAGGAATGCACAACTGATTAGCTCGAACCAGATAGCCTTCACTTCGATAATACTTCCCATCTCCATGCTACTCATACGTCTTATAAATCTCCCCAAAGTCAGCATCATCAACGTAGAGCTCCTTAATGATGTCGAATCCCAAGTACCGTGCCCCCATCGTAGTGATCAATGTATGCCTTCGAGATAGGGCATCAACAACTACATTCTCCTTTCCCTGCTTGTACTTGATCACGTATGGGAAGAATTCAATGAATTCAACCCATCGAGCATGTCTCTTATTCAGCTTGTGTTGAGCCTTCAGATACTTAAATGACTCGTGATCAGTGTGAATCACGAACTCCTTCGGCCATAGATAATGTTGCAACGTCTTCAAGGCTAGAACTAAATCGTAGAGTTCCTTTTCGTATGTAGGATAGTTGAGGGCAGCCCCACCCAACTTCTCATTGAAGTACGCAATTGGTCACTTCTCTTGCATCAACACTACTCCAATCCCCAACCCAGAAGCATCGCACTCCACTTCAAATGTCTTGTTGAAATCGAGTAACATCATAATAGGAGCATGCGTGAGCTTGTGCTTGAGTAGCTCGAATGCTTTGGTCTGCTCCCCTCCCCAATAGAAAGTCACGTTCTTCTTGAAGATGGATGTCAATGGTGCGGCAAGGGTACTGAAATTTGGCACAAATCGTCGCTAGAATCCAACCAACCCGTGAAAGTTTCGCACTTCATTCATGTTGGTAGGAGTAGGCCATTCTCGAATTGCATTCACCTTCTCTTCATCCACCTTGACTCCATCTGCACTTACTACAAAACGAAGAAAAATAACAGTAGAGGTGCAAAACGTGCACTTCTTGAGGTTAGCAAATAATTTCTCCTTTCTCAACGTCGCCAAAAACTCTCTCAAATGATTGAGATGATCCTCCATGCACTTCGAGTAGATCAAAATGTCATTGAAGTAGAAAACCACGAACTTTCTAATGAAAGGCCTCAAAACGTGGTTCATTAACCTCATGAACGTGCTAGGAGCATTGGTTAAACCAAAGAGCATTACCATCCATTCGTATAGACCATGTTTGGTCTTGAATGCAGTCTTCCACTCGTCTCCCTCCTTCATACGAATTTGGTGATAACCTGATCTCAAATCAATCTTGGAAAACACACTAGAGCCATGTAATTCGTCAAGCATATCATCTAATCGAGGGATAGGATGACGATACTTAACTGTGATCTGATTAATGGCTCGGCAGTCTACACGCATCCGCCAGGTGTGATCCTTCTTTGGCACGAGAATCATGAGAACTGCAAACGGGCTCCTGCTTTCAAGCACATGCCCTTTCTCCATGAGCTCCTCGATCCGTCTCTGCAATTCATTTGAATCCTCAGGATTCGTTCGATAGGCTGCCTTGTTTGGAATCGTAGCTCCCGGAACGAAATCAATATGATGTTCGATCCCTCGAATAGGAGGAAACCCCTTGGGTGCTTCTTCTGGAAAAACATCATCGAACTCCTCCAATACAGCTCGTGCCATGGGATGAACTTCTTGGACCAGCTCCTGATTTATTAGCACGCCTTTGTATATTATCACGCTTAACGGTTCTCGTTCATATACAGCTTGCTTCATGTCACCACTTCGTGCTAGCATAATGGCTTTGAATTCCACAGCACTGGAACCTTCTTCTCATTTCTTGGTCGAGACACTACTTGCCTTCTCCTGCTCTCGACGTTGCTGCATTTGAAGTTGATCTCGATAGACATCACTTGGAGATATAGGCTTCAACACAAATTTATGTCCTTCATGTAGTAGCTTGTATTTATTAGTAACTCCATCATGTTGTGCTTGTCGATCAAACTGCCATGGCCTTCCAAGAAGCATATGCGCTGCTTTTATAGGCACTACATCACACAAAATCTCATCCTTGTACCCACCAATTTCGAATTTCATCAGTGCTTGATTCGTGACTTTGATGGATCCATGATCGTTAAGCCATTGCACTGTATAAGGATTCGGATGCTTCAATGTAGACAGCCCTAGCCTCTTCACTGCACACGCACTCACAAAATTCGTGCAACTCCCTCCATCGATCACTAGGGATAGCAACTTACCACCAACCATGCACCTCGTATGAAATATATTTTCTCGTTGTTCACTTTCCTCCGTAGGTTGCACAGTCAACACTCTCTTTGCTACAAACATACTTCCCGAAGGTGCTTCCATCTCAATGGATTCATCAATCTCAGAATCAGTGGATTCCTCGACTTCCTCTTCAGAAACATACTCACCATTATCGAGCAAAATCAAGGTCTTCTTATTAGGGCATTGGCTTGAAATATGCCCTCTTTCGTGGCATTTAAAACATTGAATTCCCCCTGACGTTCCACCTTGCTTCATAACTCGATTTGCACCATCAGCCTTTGCCGCAGGTCTTGGAGCTTCTTTCATGGGCATTTGCGGCTTAGGGTTGGTTGTAAATCCTGGATTAGTTTGTTGGGAATTTGTAGAGGGTTGGAACCTCCTGTTTCTTAGCCGCCATTCCACTTTGCTGGCCATATCCACTAAATCTTCAAGCTCAAGGAACGGTTGTATTTCCACCACATTCTTGATCTCAAGATTGAGACCATATAGAAAACAAGCAATGGTAGCCTCGCGATCATCTCTAATATCAGCTCGTATCATCAAAAATTCCATCTCCTTGTGATAATCTTCAACACTTTTAGTACCTTGCAGAAGAAATTGGAGGTTCTGATACATATCTCTCATATAATAATTTGACACAAACTGATCCCTCATTATACCCTTCATCTCGTCCCACGTTTCAATAGGATTCTGTCTATTTCTCCTCCTTCTCGTGCCTAACTGATCCCACAAAATGAGAGCATAATCTGAGAATTCCAAGGCAGCGAACGTCACCTTCTTCTTCTCAGAGTAATTGTGGCAATCAAAGACCAACTCCATCTTTCGTTCCCAATCTAAATAAGCATCAGGGTTTTTGGTACCACGAAAGGGTGCAATGGTGACCTTGAGGTTTCAAAGATCATCGTTTTCCTCAAAGCCCTCCTCTTCTTCTTCATCAAATTCTTCAAAATCTCCTTCTTCATGTTGCTGTTGCCGCCCTCTTCATTCAGCCTGAGGCATCCCAAGACGTCCATGTTGACGCATATGCCGCTATATTTCATGAACCAAGGGACGAGGAGCTCGATTTTCCCTTCCTCTTTCTTCCTGTCGAGGTCTAGGGTTAGGGTTTGCTTCGGCAACACCTGGCTGTTGAAGTCTCGCTTCCACTGCCCCCATCCTGGGTTGCTTGCTCAGTCAACCTCGTCATTTGCTCCTCTTGAGTTCGAGCGATGTTCTCCAATTGGGTTTTGATAGCATCCAGCGCAGCCTCCATGCTTGCGATGCAAGAATCACAAGATCTTCAATAACCGAACACAACCTTCTATCTTGCGGCTCAAGAAACTCAAGAACACGCCAAGATCTTCAAGAATTCGCACGAGAACTTCCTAGAACCACCAAGAATATGAACAAGATTGTAAAGAACTCGTCAACTCCACCACTGAGTTGAACCGGGCTCTGATACAACTTGATACAATCAAAGTCGCACAGCTCCAAGCAATTCGAACCAAAAGAACTAGATAGGATGGAATCTATCGGACAGTACTCACTCGTGAACAATGGCAATCGATATATGAATCATTCAGAAAGATTCAACTCGGAATAAAGGGCAATCGATATGGGTAGCTCGCCACAACTAGGTTGAATACCTAGCTGATCAAAGTTGCTCTAACACTCCAGAATCCTCAACAGAGTAATTAGGCCAAAAGTCCTCAAGGGAACTTGGCAATAGCCTCTGAAATTCAATAATAATGGTCTTTTCCTCCAAACCAACGAGGTCAGCCCTTTAAATAGGCTTCAAACAACCCAAATCCGAAAATAACAAGGAAAACATCAAAGTAAATCGACTTAAGAAAAAACAACCCGTTAAGCAAAACCCGTTTAGAAAAACCTGTTAAGCAAAACCCGTTAAGCCCGCTTATTGCATTCTGCCGTCTCTTCTAGATTTCCTTTTTCCTCCACTCGAATCCTCATATATGGCCTTCCTCTAAACAGCTCCACGTCCATAGATCCAAAATGATTCTCCAAATAAGTTGCGAGATTCTCTTTCAATGCTCTTGTCTTATCACGTGTGACTGGCCCTTGGATGCCCTTATCAGTTCAAAATATCAAAGTGAAATTGGAGACTACTCCATATCTAGAGGCGAAAATACAAATAACAGAAAAGAAAAACCCTTAACAAGATAATCTTCCTTCTTCTTAGATGCTTGATTCAACCTTTGGAGAAGAAATCGA